TCTTAGCGCACGTCCGTTATTCCCTAAATATCTCATATTACGAGCAAACCAAATATATTATTATAAGTTATTATTGTATATCCAAAATAATAAACTATACCCCATGTACGATTCTTCTCGATGTGCTGAGTACTATCTCCGTACAAATAGTATAAGAACACCGAAAACTAGAACAACCTATGGTCAACAACATATTGGTTATCAAATACCGAGTCTCCTCAACAAACTGGGTGACGTACTTGACCTAAATAAGAAAACTTCCAAAAATAAGTTCAAGGAATTTTCCTTTATAATTGTATTGAATATGCCGTGAAATCACACTGGCAAAATCGTGGCCATCGTTAAGGGCACCAAGTTGAAGCAAAGGCCACTTACCGCTGTTGCACACTGGGGTCTGTAATGGTTGGTTCACACCGGCGCAAGACTGCTGGAACCAATCAGCGATGCCCAGAGATGACACCTGCAATTTTTTATATGCAGGCTCATTTTTAAAGACAATAGTCTTTCTTGGGTACCTTTGACGCAAAAATTTTGGTCTGTCCGTCTGTCCGTACGACACGATACCCCAAATGGCCGACCCCATCCGCAGCCCCCACCAATATTGCTCAAGATTCATCGTTTATACCAGTGCGATTATCAATTAGAAAGGAAGTATTGTACATATCTGAGGCACCATAACAAGTATATATTCTGTATGTGCGTTTTTTATTAGAAAAGGCATACATAAGGAATTATAGGGACCATAGCGTTTATCCTGCTGCGCTGACCATGCAATACTTGCACGAAAAGGCGAGTGTGTCGAACGCTTTGCTAAGACGACATGGTGGTGGCACCTACCCGTCGCCTTGCGTTCTACTCCTTATCATCTCCGAGACGGGTGCGCAAGCCTGTCTCAGAGCCGGGCGTTTCCTTTTACAGATAACTGCCAGGTAGCGCTCATGTCCCATGTGTACTGTGACTTGATGTGATCGTTCGCTTCTGCTGCATGCTCGAGGCACTCTTAACGCAACGTCTCCAGAATACCATTCACCGATTTTCTTGCGTAGAACATCAAATAAACGTTTTGTTCACTCTCTTTAGACGCCAGCCTATCATCTTTCGACGACATTTGTAGTGTGACTTGCAAATACGGGGCCATTTTTTTGTTTTTTTCATTCCACTGGCCTTCTGTTGCCAGATACAAACAAGTGCGTTCTTCGGGGTCCGTGACACCATGGCCACCATGGAGTACTTGGCTTGGAGATGGCGGGGCGCAGCTGCTTTAAACCACAAAGTGGCTATGATAATTGCATGTTCTAGAATACTGTCTTTGCGTCTATGCTTTTATGAATGCGTTTGGTATACAAGTGTCACTGGAAGGCTCAAAAGAACTACGTCTTTGAGGCTCCTAAACAACAGATTGTATGTTGGGTAAGTGTCATCGCTGCCCATGGACTGAAAGCTTCACCCTGACTAATCTCAGAATGCTTGATGAGGTCAAAACTACGTTTGCTGTGTGGGAAAACGGCAAATTCGTAAGGAAGACGTCTCAAACCTTTTTCCTGTTAGAGCTCGTCAAATGGGTGACGAAAGGGATTCCCCATGCTGCACTCAAGCAGTGGCTATTCATGAAGCAAAGATATGTGTGCAGTGTGCAAGCATTATTGTGCATTTTGATTTTGCAAAAACTGGACTGTCCTCCTCTCAAACGAAACGCAGCCGTATCATTGGCAAAAAAAAGTCGCAGCATATCCACGGAGTGAATGATGATGAGTGGGGCGAAGCGTCCGTCAGCCCGTCCGTGCTTTCGTCTGTTCGTTTGTTCTTGCTTCCGTCCGTCCGCGCGACCATCCGTGCGTCCATCTATGCGTCCGTCCGTGAGTCCGTCCGTTTGTGCGTCTATCTAGTGAACACTCCCATGTACCGCCATCTCCCATCTCCATCCTCTGTGGCACATACCCACTCTAGAATAGGTATGTGCCACTGGTGGCTACATACACCAACAGAGGACGGACAGACCCACACCCTAAGGAGCTTCGTCCGTAAAATGTATATAAAACCTTTGTGTGTGTAGAGATTCTAAACGATGCTTGAGCTGCTACAGAGGTTTCGCTTATTTGTGCTGCTTGACCATTCCGAAAGAACGGGTATGTGCCACTGGTGGCTACATACAACAATGGAAGATGGAACGGGGCTTCCCCCCTAAAAGCAAAGCTCCATCTTCACCTGTGTTGCCACGACAAGTTTTGCTGTCATTAGCGATGACATGCATCACGATACAGCACATGCCTGTTGCGCTCTAGGTTGAAATGGGTTCACCCTATGCATGGCTGGTGCAGAAGCCTGACTAATGTTCCAGCTGCACATAGTTGTACCGTGCCTGATTAACGTCTCCTTCTCGTAGCTCGAATCATCGCACTTACACGGGTTTGGGCGAATAAGGCTACAAGCTAGGTCAACAAAACGACACTTTATTGCTTCGTTAGCAATAACGCGTAAATGTAACCTAGAGGAACTGTCTGCTCTAAAATGATAACAAAAGGTAGGCTTACACCTTTGGTCATCAATGTGCTTGGCTTGCAGTAAAATCCGGGGGTTGTCCCAGTCCAGTGGCTGGGGCCAGAGAGACCGTTCCCCGTCGGCACGCTCATTTTGACCTACCTCTTGGTTTCCCTCTGTTCAACAAGGGTTGGCTCCCTCGCCGAGGAAGGGTAACCTGTTTTGCTTGCTGAAAAAAAATGGGCGATTGGCTTCTCAACTATGCTGCCGCAAAAGGGAAAGGAAGCATGGGTGCACGTGCTTTCTCACAAGGTAGAGTGGACGAAATTTTAGATGAGAAAGCACCCATCTGCTGTCACGTAACATATATGTCAGGGATAGTGCAGCGAGCGCTTTTAAAAATAGGTATCAACTTTACGAGTTGTGCCGCACCAAGTGCTTGTCCGCAATGTGGCTATTTTTTGCTACTGAGCATGGAAAGACTGCTAGCGAGGGTGTGGGTAAACTGAAGCATCAAGCATCCCTGCACAACCTGAGGTCTTGAAGTACCAACTCCATTCAGTCAGCGCTCGAGATGGTGTCTCCGCCAAGCACGAGCTGAAGAATGTGACTTTGGTTGATGCGCCCACTGCGGCCATCGAGGAGCATCGTCATCAGAAATCAGCGGACTGAAAATCAGTGCCGCGTGTCAGGGGAATTCAGTCATGGCATGTGTGGATGTGTGCGTGCGATCGAGTGGGTATGGGCTGTCTGTTGCGAGAACTGCTGCTGGCCAGCTGACGGAAATCAAACCTTTCTGAGTGGTAACTTCAACAAACTTCTTTGAGCGCCACAAGAAGTGTCCGATTCTGTTTTGAATCCGAGAATACAAAGCAGAAAACACGTTCTCTGTCATTGCCATAATAACAAACACACGGAAATCTTTCTTTGTAACAACCTGCTATTTTTCTTCTTTTTTAAGAAACAGCTTAGGTGTTCACAAGCCGAAAGGAGTCATCACCGCACTGAAGGCACTGCATTCAATGCACTCAGGCAGGCTCGCCTGGTCGTACATTGCAGAGATTGCAAGTGTTTACCAGATTTTCACGTATGCTCTGACTGCCAAAAGTTGAGATAAGTGGAACAGATGGATAATTGAGGCAAAAAAGATTACTTAAGGAGGCAATCTTTGCAGGATAGGGTTCTCCATACCTTTATCACAGAGTTTCAATACGAGAATGTGACTTCACAGCGATCAAACCTGACAACGCTGTCAGCATAAATAGCATTCATGGTTTTTCTGGGAATTAACCTTGTTGGAAGTGGTACCCAGCGTGCGTGTCTCGTTTCTCGTCCGTCTCATCATCTTTTTGTCTTTTACCTCGGATCACACATTGGCAGTTTTAGAACCATGCATAGGAACTAATGGGTCAACATAACATTAATGCCAATTATGATTTTCTTTGGCTGCATTTACCGTATTTACATAATTCTAAGCACCCTTTCCCTCCTCCCCGATTCTAAGCACCACCCCCTGTTTTCACCATAAATATTTTGGAAAAAAGTTTGCTTGCAAATCCAAGCACCCTTTCCTTTTTTTTTTCCTTTTCTACGAGCATGGCACTGTCAGGGCCGCCAAACGCGCCCTCACGTCGATAATCTCAAAAGCCACCAGCTGGTATGTTGCTAGGTTCAGATAAGAGATAGCGGCACAAGAGTCGGCGGATAATCCAATCAAATCCGCAAGTCCGGACAAGTTGGGTTGGCTTTGCAATAGCTTTGTGGTGGCTGGTGGCGTGCGCACATTTCTTTGTCAGTTGCTTGATAGCGCTGAGATCAGTCAGAATGAGTGCAAAGAGGGCTTCCTACAACTTGGTAGTTTAAGCAAGCTGCGATCGCGTTTGCTGAGGATAATGGCGAACATAGTGCTGCTGCAAAGTTTAGTGTGGACTGAGCCTGCATCATCAGGTGGAGGAAACAGTGGGACCAGATTCTTAAGGGCGCCGCGACTCCCGAGAAATTCATACGACCGCACGAGGCCCGACACCTCCAACTCGAAGAGGAAGTCTGCGAGTTTTAACGTATCAGTCGATGTTGTCGCAAAGTCGTTCAAGAATTGTTTCATCGCGAACAACTTGGACAGCACCGAAGACGTTCTGCTGTGGGACACCTAAAGTGACTACTTGAATCGTGCGACAGACTCGAGCGGCAGTGATAGTGACTGACTTGCTACATGAGTGGTGGGTTCACTCTGTGCACATATTTTTTAAAATTCTTTTCAAATTAAGATGTGATTTCTCGCATTAACCTCGTTGATATGTTGTCGCAAAAGGCGATTGGGCTGCACGGTTATTTTTTGATTTTTCGGTTTTTTGAATATAAGCACCCCTTCTAACTTTGAATATCGGGATCGTGAAAAAAAGGTGTTTAGAATTTAGTAAATACGTTATGTTAACCAAGATGCGTATATGAATGTGCTGTGTTTCACCCTCTTACCCAAGCAAGCTTCCGCTGGCAGACATACTCGGTGTTTGTTTATGCAGCCGGAACCAGCTGAGTGTGCTTCCAGTAGCAGTGTGCCACCTGCCCCTGGCTGTCTTGCTGGTGTCCAACAACCGGCTATCCAAACTACCTGAGGAGATGGGCAAGATGCGCTCCCTCATGGACCTGGTGAGTAGTCAGGTTCTGTGTCTCTATGGGTGTTTGATTTTCATTCACTTACCTTATCTACTCAAATGAAGTGCTACTGCTATTGTAACCTGGGAGCCATCTTTACAGTCTCACCAATATAACATGAACTGACATTGTACTTTAAGTTAAGAAATATCAGTTTGGTCATTGGTCAACTTATGGTCTCTCGAGGAGGAGTGTTCCCTGCACACTCCTCTCATGGACTCACTTGTGGAGATAGTTTCCCTTTCGTGAAAGATGCTGTAATTTGTGGGAGAGCATGTAGGCCCATGCTTCCTTTGTTTCTTGGCGGAAGCGCGGCCGTGAAGACAAACCAGTCCCCCTTGGAGAAAGACACAGAGGTCTCTTTCCAAGGGCCATTCAGCTGGTAGCTGGTGCACGCTACTAGAGATGTGCACGGGCCCCAATTTCGCAACCTGGCCTGGGCCTAGTGCTCGATGAAGGCGGCCAGCCCGGCTCGATGATGTATATAGGACGGGCCCGCCCAGGGCCAGCCTGGCATGCCATACCCAAGGCCCGGCCCAGCCCAACTTGATCAATGACGCAATAAAGCACATGGCAACAAATGAAGAAAAGTATATTTATTAAAAAAAAAGCATGCCGTCCTTCTTTGTACCTTCTGTTTTTAATTATAATTTTAATTATAATAAACGATGAGACCGCCTTAGTGCGAAAACATTCTCAAATTATTGTACAGAAACAAAAGGTCCATAGATTTGGGCTTCAATCGAATACATCGTTCCTGTATTATGTAATAAATTATTCACTGCGTTATGTATGTAAACAAAGTACGTGCCTCTTGTTCACGATATGAACATAAGGCATGCTTATGTTCATATTGTAAAATTATTAGTATGTTGTACATGACTTGAGATTAGTGCCCTTCTCACCCAATGTTTTTTATTTTGAATATGTATACACAGAAAAACAAAACATTTATGAAAAGTTCTGCTGTTTCTTAAGCTCTCAGTGTTAAAAGCCGTGAATTTCAGCTAATTAACCCATATATGTGAAAAAAAAAAATAACAAAACAAACATTTATTAAAATAAAAAGTGTGCTTATACCCTAAAAAAAGTGCATAAATGAACAAGGACAATTCTGGCACATCATTTATATTTTTGGCTTGATTCAGGGTTTTCGCTAGGGCCGAACCTAGCCCAATTAAAAATCAAGAAAGCCCAGCCCGGGCTCGAGGTGAAAAGACGTCGGGCTGCCCGACGAGGATCCCATGCACACCTTTACATGCTGCCCCCCTTACCGGCTATCGGGACAAGCTACCCACCCTTGGCAGGAGAATCAAATGTCGCTGGAGAGAGGGAAACCGAGGGTGTGAGAAAAACCAACGAAAAGACTGTAAGAAGCTCTCTTGTACCAGCAAGTGGCCACCGGCAATCTATCTTCGAGATCCCTGGGAGACACGGCCTTACCCTTTGTTCTCTTCGTAGAGCAGACGATCCCTCTACACGACATTTACGCGTAATTCCTATCGTAGCACTAAAGTGTTCTTTGTTGGTCTAGCCTGTTTGCTCAGTCGCCCGAACCCGTCGTAGCTACAGTGAATCGAGCTACGGGAAGGGGCCATCGATGCGCATAGTGCGGCTGTGTATGGCTGTAACCGTAGCTAGGCTTCTGCACCAGCCATGCATAGAATGTACCCCCTCAAAGTGGGGCTACTGTGCCATATTGTCACGGTAATAAAATCAATGCAGGTAACAGTGTAGCAAACAGCAGAACAGCTTTGATCGAGCAGCGAAGTTCGTCGTCGTCCTTTCTGCTCACCAAATCCTTCGACACGCACAAGTAATGATGCTCGTGTCATTACTCCCCCTCTCGAAAAGCTTCGACTCGATGCTTTCAAATGTATGAAGGCAAGAGCAAGTCTTCAGCGTGAATACGGCTTCATCCTAGCCACGTGGACGATGTCCGGCTGGGCAACACGACGGGGGGACTGCACGCTGGGCTCTGCGATAACTTCGTAGTTTACATTGCTGACGCGCTGAAGAACCCGGTAAGGGCCGAAGTAACGACTCAAGAGCTTCTCAGAGCGGCCGCATTGATGTACGGGACTCCAGAGCCATACTTTTTCTCTGAGGTGGTAGGTGACTTCTCTGTGCCGAAGGTTGTACCTATGAGCATCGTGTTGTTGCTGAGAGCAAATGCGCAAGCGAGCTCGTTGTCAAGCTTCTTCAGCACGCTGCGCATACTGGTCAGCATTTTCGGTGGTGGTTGTAAATGCCTCAGGTAATAGTATGGCGTCTAACATTGTAGTAACTTCGCGGCCGTGAAGCAGGTGGAAAGTTGTAAATACTGTAGTTTCTTGCACGGCGGTGTTATATGCGAAAGTTGCGAAAGGGAGGACACTGTTTCAGTTCCTGTGGTCTACGTCGACATACATGGAAATCATGTCTGCGATGGTCTTATTGAGCCGTTCTGTTAATCCGTTAGCTTGTGGATGGTAAGCTGTCGTTCGGCGATGTACGGTGCCACTGAGTGTCATCACTTCTTCCAGTAGTTGGGCAGTGAAGGCCGTGCCTCTGTCTGTTAGAACCACGGCCGGTGCACCATGGCGGGGGACAACAGCATGAATGAAGCAATCCGCGACATCGCTTGCCGTATCGCGCTGGAGTGCTCGTGTTTCACAATAACAGGTTAAATATAAATAGTCAGTCGCAATGATTATCCATCGATTCCCCGCTGATGATTTCGGAAATGGACCTAGCAAGTTCATGCCAACTTGTTGAAATGGTTCTCGGGGTGGCTCCACAGGGTGTAAAAGACCAGCAGGTTTCATGGGTAGAGTTTTGCAACGCTGACAGTCTCGGCAGGTTTTCACGTAGTGCTTGATCGTACGGGACAGTTTGGGCCAGTAGTACGTGTGGCGGATACGTGCCAGAGTACGCGTGAACCCTAAACGCCTGGAAGACGGTTCGTCATGGCATGCCTTAAGGATGTCGTCTTGCATCACAGATTGTACGGCCAGCAGGGCGGTTCGAGCGTTGCGATCAAAGCTCCGCTTGTACAGGACGTTGTCACGAAGGAAAAATGATGAAATTGTGCGCCTGAATGTTCGTGGTGGCTGTTCAAGCTTGTCGTCGAGATAGTCGATGATCGTGCGAAGTTCTGTGTCATCACGCTATTCTTGAGCCAAGTCGGAGGCTGTGACGGCCATGAGGAAACTTTCATCGTCAGTTTGGTCAGGAGGAATCGACTCGACTGGCGCACGTGATAGGCAGTCAGCATCGGTGTGCTTGCGTCCTGACTTGTAAACCACCGTAACGTCAAATTCTTCTAAGCGGAGACTCCATCGAGCCAGGCGGCCTGAGGGGTCTTTGAGACCTGCAAGCCAGCACAAGGAATGGTCGTCGGTGACTACTTTTTTTTTTTCAAGTTTCAAGTTTTATTATTTCCAAAAACAAGGTACAAACTCTAATATATACAGACGAGGGTCCCAGAGCCAGAGACTTTAGTGGGACCCTCGGTTTGTCGATACAAACCGACGGTAAAATTTATACAGAGCAACAGAAAATTCATACAATATACGGACATCAAAACGCACTTTTATATCACAAATCAAGCCAAAACACGCAACATGGTATAAAAAAACGAAGAACAAACGAGTCAAACAGGTAAACCATCACGAGTAAGGTTATACGGACTTCTTGAACAAAGGAATTGAAGTGCAACGCTTAATGCTAGAATGTAACGCATTCCAAAAGGATGTCGCACTCAAAGCGGAAGTTTATTGCCCATACTTAGTATGAGCGGGGGGTTACAGGAAATTTTCAACAGCCGCAAACCTGGTCACATTATTATTCTGCAAAAGATCAGATGTAATAAATGGGAATGCGAGTTGATTATACAGCAGTTTGTGGAATAAGGTCACAAGATTCAACCGGAACAAAAGATTTACTGGCAAGATATTGTAAGAGCGTAGTAATGTGTAGGCGTTGGATTGCAAAGAACTAGAAGTAACAATGCGGATTGACTGATTTTGAATGTGCTATATTGATGATAAATGACAAGCATAAGTGTTGCCCCATGAGACTACACCATATGCAATATGACTATGAATGAACGCAAAATACAGCACCAGTAGAGCTTTACGGGAAAAGAAAGGGCGAGCTTTGATCAACGCGTGGATACCAAACGCCGTCTTCTGCTTAAGATGGTTAAAGTGACTGCGAAAGGTAAGGCATGGGTCAAAATGTATGCCAAGAAAGACGACATCAGAACGAGCAGAAATGGAATGAATACCAAGTTGTATTAAGGGAATAGCAGATAATGACCTCTGAGCACTTTCAAACACCATAAATTTAGTTTTTGTGGGGTTGATAACTAAGGGGTTACTGCTGCACCAATTCATAAGGGCACTTAATGTAAGATTTAACTTTGAAACAAGAGCATCAATGTTTTTATCAGATGAAGATATTGTTGTGTCATCAGCGTATAGAACACAGTGACCACAGTCAAAAGAGCTAAGAACATCAGGAAGATCATTCACATATAAAATAAATAGCAAAGGACCCAATACTGAGCCCTGTGGTACTCCTTGGTTAACATATTTTGTTGTAGAGAAGGTATTTGCGGCGTGTACTGTGTACTGTAGGTCAAGTAGGTAATTTCTTAACAATGTAAGCGCAGGGCCTGTTATTCCATAGGACTGAAGTTTATGCAATAAGACTTGATGATTTACAGTGTCAAAGGCTTTAATGAGATCTAAAAAAATCGAACCCACTAAATTTCCCGAATCGATACTTTTCTATGTAATCAGAGACAGCACAGCTAGACTTGTTGACTTGTTGAGCTACCTGGACGGAAACCGAATTGGCTGTCTTTAAGCAATTTAAATTTAACTAGGTATCTATTCAGACGTTCGACAAACAATTTTTCGACTAGTTTGCTGAGGCAGGAAAGAATAGAAATTGCACGTTAGTTGGAAACTGTTTGTTTATCGCCTTTTTCAAGGGGGGAGGCTACC